GGTTACAGTTCCCGTCCCTTGGTACATTTCACTGAGGACGGTGTATAGAGGTGGAGGAGCTGGGGGGAAAATACACACACCTCGACCTCCGTCTATAGGCGAGTCCCTGCGTCCCTCCCAGCCTCAGTTTCCCTAGTCTGACAAAGAGGGATGATCGCCCCGCCCCGCCCCGCCCCGGGGAGTGCACCAGCACATGGCCGTAACCCCCGTTCAGGCGTCAAAGTCCGGCGGAGGTTCTGATTACTCAATAACCACTAATAATGAGGGGAACAGCCTTGGACCTAGCGCCGGAGATGGGCCCAGATCCCTTCTGGGCGTAAAGCAGCCTGATTGCCCTGGAGCGATGCAGAGGGTTTACGCCAGCGGGGCCGGCACGCACAGAGTGAAAGCGACCAGCCGAGCTCCCCTGCAGCAGTTCAAGGGAGCGGCACAGAGATCAGGGCGATATGACAGCTGGCTGGGTTTCGATGACCTTGGGTGTTCACGGGGGCCGGATCCTCCCCTCTCTTAGAGGTGTAAAACAGCAGTGACCCCATCGACAGCTGCGGAAGCTCGTGTCAGTGAGAGCCGTATTCTGCCGTGGGATCAATTCGGCATTCGCTTAAGGGCTCCCCTGGGCTGACCCCACCCCGTGGCCACGCCTTGCAGCCTGGGCAAACACACCGGGGGATGCAGACAGGCTCTTGGGAGCCCCAGCCGGCGCCATGCGGTGTCACCATTGGGGGGTGGGGGCATCTGGCTTCCCCAGGGGTGCACACGGGACTGGAGGCCGGCGACGGGCAGAGGGACCACGGCTTCGCTCCACAGAGGAATGGAGAAAGCAGCCCGATGTGCCAGATCGACTCACAGATAAGCCACAGCTGTTTAGCTGGGAGGTCTCAAGCCACGTCTCCAAGGCCGGCTGATACACGGGGCAGCTGTCAGCAAAGGATGGGCCCATGTGGGCCCGTGTCCAGCGTTCTGGCTGGCACCGCGCCAGCCCAGCCCGAGATAAGTCACTGGCCTTGACGCTGAGCTGGCATCTCTGGCGTGTCCCTGATTCTGTCGTGCCGTGGATAGAAGCCACGGCTGAAATTTGTTCTCCCCACTGAAAGTGGTGCTGGGCTTGGGGGGCACCTGGTGGGGCTCCTTTTGGGATCAAAGCCCCCCTGTAGCTTCAGGCAGGATCTCCCCTAACCTGAGCCATGACCCAGTGCCCCGGGGTGGGCTGGGGAGCCCAGCAAGCCGCATACCGTCCTGATTTGTGGCTCGCCAGTAATGGGCCATGCAGGGTCATGCCAGCTCCTTCCAGAGCAGAGATGGATGGTGAAATGGGCTGGGGCAGGGTGCAGAGAAGGGGGCAGGAAATCAGTGTGAAATTCATGGAGTACAAGGCGTTGGAGACTTCTTTGGCTTCAAATTGGGGGCCCATGCAACTGAAAAAATGACCCATGTACGGCCGCCTTCTGGGACGCTATGGAGGAGCAAATGGTCAGGGCCCATCTAGACCATGGTAATGGCACCAGGCTCTGACTAAGATCAGCGTCCCACTGTGCCAGGCACCGCTCAGACCCTGACCAAGATCAGGGCCCTGTCGGGCCGGGCGCTGCCCAGACCCCGACCGAGATCAGAGCCCCGTCGGGCCGGGCGCTGCCCAGACCCCAGCTGAGATCAGGGCCCTGTCGGGCCGGGCGCTGCCCAGACCCCGACCGAGATCAGGGCCCCGTCGGGCCGGGCGCTGCCCAGACCCCAGCTGAGATCAGGGCCCTGTCGGGCCGGGCGCTGCCCAGACCCCGGCCGAGATCAGGGCGGGGGAAGTGAGAGTCCTGGCACTAGTGCGTGGATCCTGGGGTGGAGAGGGGGTGAGCTCGCACAGCGCGAGGGGGCTGGGAGCTGGGTGCTCCAGCCCTGTGAGGTCCGTGCCCACGGGCGGCTGGGGCCGGTGCCATGCAGCTAACGTTGAACGGGCTCTTTGTTTCTTTTCCTGTCTAGATAGAAAAGTCCAGGATGAAAAGGCGCTGGGAAAGTGGGAGTGAAACAGTCGCTAATCTGCCCGGAAGGGGGCAGGGAGCTGAATTCTGTGCCAGAGCCAGGGGTCTAACCACTAGAGCCTGCTTCCTCCCCGCAATGGGGAGAGAACCCAGGAGTCCTGACTCCCAGCGCTCCCTGCTCTGACCACTAGACCCCCACTGCCCTCCCAGGGGGAAGTCCAAGCTGAAGCAGTAGCTGCCTCTGGGAGCTGGGACTTTGGCCTCATAACATTTCCCACACAAAACAGGAGGGGAGCCAGGACTCCTGGGTTCTATCCCAGCTCTGGGAGGGGAGTGGGGGCTAGTGGTTAGAGCAGGGGGGGGCTGGGAGCCAGGACTCCTGGGTTCTATCCCAGCTCTGGGAGGGGAGCGGGGTCTAGTGGTTAGAGCAGGGGGGCTGGGCGCCAGGACTCCTGGGTTCTCTCCCCAGCTCTGGGAGGGGAGTGGGGGTTAGTGGTTAGAGCGGGGAGCTGGGAGCCAGGACTCCTGGGTTCTATCCCAGCTCTGGGAGGGGAGCGGGGTCTAGTGGTTAGAGCAGGGGGCTGGGCGCCAGGACTCCTGGGTTCTATCCCAGCTCTGGGAGGGGAGCGGGGTCTAGTGGTTAGAGCAGGGGGCTGGGCGCCAGGACTCCTGGGTTCTATCCCAGCTCTGGGAGGGGAGTGGGGTCTGGTGGTTAGAGCGGGGAGCTGGGAGCCAGGACTCCTGGGTTCCATCAGTGTATGGCGTTGGGGGGGAAGTACTTTGGCCACTACCACAGTATAACAGCTGACTCCAGCGGCGGCCTGGGCTCAGGCCAGGGCGGGGGCTGGAAGCGGCTGGACTGTCTGGAGATTCCGCTCAGAAATTCTCCCCCAGCTCGGGGCTTCCACCGCCTGGCCTGAGCACCGGGGCAGCTCCTGCCCGCACGGGAACCGAGGGAGCAGCCGCTCTGGCTCCATGGCCCAGCCAGCGCTGAGCTGCCAACCAGCGCTACGGACCCCCTGGCCTGAGACCCCCCAAACTCATTTCACACCAAGCCTCTGTCAGAGGGGAATGAATCTTGGTCTCGCCTGATTGGAGCCGGTGCCCCCTAGAGAAGACAGGCCCCATGCCCCCCCCCCGCCCATCCCGTCCCCAGCCCTGGGGCCGGATCAGAGCTGGTGCCCCCTGTGCCCCGCTCAGTGGGTTAGAGATGTGAGTGCCCAATGGGCAATAGACCTACCCCACCCTGTGCCTGCGCCCTGCTCTGGGGGGGAGCCAGGGGCCCTGTGAGGCAGCAAACAGCCCTGGGGTTGCTGCTGGAGCCCAGGGAGTGCCGGGAATCGGTGCCAGGAAGAAGCAACTCAGGCTCTGTGACTCACGCGGGGTGAGTGGGACACGCCTGGCAGCCCCAGGCGGGGACCAAATCTCAGCAGTGACCCTTGGCAACCACAGCATCTCCCCAGCAGGTGTGGTGCTCGCTCCTCCCACACGGCATTTCCAGCAGGCCAATGGGGGAGGCAGGGAATTTCCCCCGCAGTTTGCACTAGTGTGTACCGGGCCCCGGGCCCAGAGTCGGCTCCCAAGGAGCCAGCTCCTCTCCTGTCGTAAAGCAACCCAGCTCCACTGAGACCCACCAGCTGGGGATGGGTCCCATTGACTCCCAGCTCCTCTGCTCTAACCACTAGCCCCCACTCCCCTCCCAGAGCCAGGGAGAGAACCCAGGAGTCCTGGCTCCCAGCTCCTCTGCTCTAACCACTAGACCCCACTCCCCTCCCAGAGCCAGGGAGAGAACCCAGGAGTCCTGGCTCCCCCTAACCACTAGCCCCCACTCCACTCCAGAGCCAGGGAGAGAATCCAGCAGTCCTAGCTCCCAGCCCCCCGCTCTAACCACTACACCCCACTCCCCTCCCAGACAGGACCCAGGCGTCCGGGGCCCTCACCGGATCTGCGCCTGGGTGCCGAGCGCCAGCAGCAGGAGGGCGGCCCAGCCCGGGGCCCCCATGGTGTCTGGTGCGGCAGCAGCTGTCAGCCCGTCTGTCCCCGGGCCAGGGAGCCGCTCAGCCCCCGCCGGCCCCGCCTCCTCCCCCTGGCCGGGTCACCTGGGGTGCAGCGTCTGATTGGCCCAGGCCTCCTGGGGTGCAGCGTCTGATTGGCCCAGGCCTCCTGGGGTGCAGCACCCCATTGGTCCTGGTTCTGCCAGCAAGGCAGGCCGCGGGCGGGGTGTCACCGGATGAGCCCCACGGCCTGATTGGGGGGGGGAGCTGGGCGCTGGGCCAGGGGATCGAGGGGGAGCTCCTGCCCCTCGGCCCCCCTCAAACCCTGCCCCCTTCCCCACAGCTCCATAGACCCACAGCCCTCCAACCTGTACCATAACCCTCCACACCCCCACAGCCCTATAACCCTCCCCACAGCCCTATAGCCCTCCCCACCCCCTTCCCCACAGCCCTCCCCACAGCCCCCAACCTGTACCATAACCCTCTGCAGCCCCATAGCACCTCCCCACCCCCTTCTTCACAGCCCCATAATCCTCCCCACAGCCCCCCAACCTGCACCATAACCCTCCCCACCCCCACAGCCCTATAACCCTCCCCACAGCCCCATAGCCATTCCTGCCCCCTTCCCCACAGCCCTCCCCACAGCCCCCAACCATAACCCTCTCCCTCCCCCCAAACACCTCCCCACAGCCCCCTCCCCACCCCTTCCCCAGAGCCCCATAGCCCTTCCCACAGCCCCCAAACTTTACCATAACCCTCCGTATCCCCACAGTCCCTCCCCACCCCTTCCCCCAAGCCCCATAATCCTCCCCACAGCCCCCTCCCTGCACCATAACCCCCTCCCCCGCTGCCCCATAGACCTCCCCACAGCCCCCTTCCCGCTCCCTTCCCCACAGCCCCATAGCCCTCCCCACAGCCCCCAACCTGTACCATAACCCTGCCCCACAGACCCAAAGACCTCCCCATAGCGCTCCCCACAGCCCCCAACCTGTCTGGGGGTGGGTTGCACATCAGGGATGGACTCAGACTCTTGGGGGGATGTTAAGAGTTTATTGTTGTTTCTGTAGGAGTTTGGGGTGTCCCAGACATGGGGGACCTGGGGGGGGATCGTAGATGGGGTCATGGGGGTGGCAGACATGGGGCTGAAGTGGGCCTGGGGGGTGGGTGGGTCACCTGCTATCCTGAGATATCTCCCCCAACAGCCCCCCCGGCCACTTGGGGAAAGGAGGGGCTGGCTGTTGGGGGGGGTCAGCAGGGTAGGGTTCGGGGGCGTCGGGGCAGGGTCCCCCTTCCCATCCCTGCCGCAGCTGACGGTGGGTGGCGGGGTGCAGCCCCCCGCGGAGAGGGGCTCCGAGGTCAGGGCACCGGCTGGACGTAGTTGGCAGGGTACAGCCCCACGCGCCCCCCGTCCGTCACCCCCTTGCACCAGCCCTGGGGGTCCTGCTCCTCCAGCTTCGTCAGCTCCTCCCCTGCAAGGACAGGCAGCGCGTTAGGGGGTGGGGGGCTCATTGGGTCTGTAGGCTGTTCAGGGGTGGGGTGAGGTTGGGGGGGCAGTCAGTGGGGTTTGGGTCCATCAGGGGAGGGGTCTGTTGGGGGATGGGCTCAGTGGGGTGGGGGTCCATTAAGGGGGATGGGATCCATCGGGGGCAGTGCGGGGTGGGGTCTGTCGGGAAGTGGGGTGTGGGGGGGCCCTGCGGGGAGCAGTGGGGTGGGGGTCTGGGGTCTGTCAGCAGAGGGGCTCAGTGGAGCATGGATGGGGGTCCATTCAGGGGGGATGGGGTCAATTGGGGGGGTCTGTTGGGGGAGGGGGTATGTGGGGTGGGGGTGGGCTGTGTCAGGGGAAGGGCTTGGTGTGGGAGTCCAGGGGGGTCAGGGCCCAGCCAGGGGATGGGTCGGGGGGTCCAGCAGGGGGCTGGAGGGAAGGGCCCAGCCGGGGGATGGGCTGGAGGGGTCAGGGGGGCTGGGGGGCAGGGGGCAGGGGGCAGGGCCCAGCCGGGGGTTGGGCTGGGGGGAGGGGCAGGGCCCCCCCCGGGGGTCACTCACCCGCGGTGAAGCTCAGCTCGTCCGGCTCCTGCCCAGTGTAGTCGTAAATGGCCCGAACCCGCTGGCCCAGAACCGGCGCCGGCGCCTCGGCCGCACTGCGGGGCAGGGGAGGCGGTGAGATGGGGCGGAGCTCCTGGGGGACACGCCCACACCCGAGCCCCCCCCCATCACCCCAAGGGTCCCCCCACTCCCTCCCAAGCGGGGGCTGCGCCGTGCAGGCTGGGGGTAGGGCAGGGTTTTCCAAGAGGCTGGTGTGTTATTATAGGGTCTCCGGGGGGAGTGAGGGGGGCTGGTGGGTCATCGTAGGTAGCCTGGGGCGTGATTGGGTTGTCGACATGCCTAGGGGGCTGTGGGCAGCAAATGGGACAGGGTCCCCCTGGCTTCCCCCGCCTCACCTGCCCCCCCGCCCTGCTCACCTGCCCCCTGTCCTGCTCACCTGTCCCCCCCGCCTGCCCCCCTGCCCCACTCGCCTCCCTCCCTGCTCACTTGCCCCACTGGCCTGCCTCCCCCACTTGCCTGCCCCCCCGCCCTGCTCACCTGCCCCCCCTGCCTGCCCCCCCCCCCCGCTCACCTGCTCGGGGCCAAGCGGATGCTCTTCAGCGGCACCTTCTCCTCCTCCTGCCCCGGTGGTGGCGCTTTGGGGCTCGGTTCCTCCCACTCTGGGCTCCATGCCTGGGGGGGGGGAAATGGGGGTTCAGCCCTGGCCCATACTTGCTTGGGGGGTGGGGGGAGCTCTGGGGGTTCCCATGTAGATGGGCCCAGAGCTGGACCCGCCGAGCTGGGCTCCCAGGGGGCTGCGGTGGGGGGTGGGGGGGAGTGATGTGGGGATTTTCCCTTGGTGTGTCGTGTGTGTCCTGCTGTTTTGTGCGTGCCTCAGTTTCCCTGTGTGCTGCACCAATGTCTAGGTGGTGGGGCTATGGGGGAGTGACTTTTGCAGGGGCTGCTCCAGCTGCCTGCTCCGATGCTCTGGCCGCCCCTTGTCACCGGACGGGGCTGCGCCCAGGTGACTGTGCCCGGGAAGGCCGGAGCAGGAGCAAGGGACGGAAGAAGGGAGAGGAGGCCCAGGTGACCCTGGTTCCCTGGGGAGAAGACAATGGACAGAGGCGGGGCCGGGGGTATCAGATGCCCTGCTGGGAAGCAGGGGGGCTCGGGGCTGGCAGCGGGGGGCAGGCAGCGCCCACCTGGGTGCAGGGGGGACTGGGATGTGCTGGGCTGAGGGAGGCCAGGCCTGGGGGTCAGAGAGTTTCCTGTGCTGGGTTCAATGCTCAATAAACCCTCCTGTGTTACGGTGACGTTATGAGTGTAATATAATATTTCGGTGGAAGGTGACAGGGCCAGAAAGAGTTCGTTACCTCCCAGACTGACCTGCCCCAGGGGTGAACCTTAAGGACTGGTTAGGAAGATCTGTAAATGAATAGGGCTGTGAAATGCAAGTCTGCATTGTGAGAGATCTCAAGGGGAAGTGTTCGCTCAGGGCTTGTGATGTGAGCAAACGAGTCTTGTCTATTGCTAGAGCTTTGATTCAAAGATCAAAAAAGGAATATTCACATTTGTGATGATACTTGAGGGAAATAGTGTTATTGTCCCTGTGTCTCTCTGAAGGTTGGGGTGACCTGGATCTGAACTGTGTCATGGGTAAATGACCCTGTGCTAATTGCCAGGATGTTTGGGAGAAGGAAAGTGAAGCCAATTGTTTTCTCAGCCCGAAAGGCTGCTGGAAATGTATAAGAACCTGGGACACGATCCTGCTGCATCTCAGATCCGCTTTGGGTTTCAAGAGGGGGAAACCTTAAGCCACCAGGATTGAGATCCTCAGTCACTGATCAGAGCCACCCTGAATATGGACATTGGACTATAACCTCCGGACTATTTCTAAAAGGACTTTTGGCAACGACAAACTCACCTCTGCTATGTGTCTGAACCTCAAGAATCGAATTCAAGTCTGTCTGTATATTGATCTTTTAACCAGCACTCCCTCTCTTTTCTTTTTCAATACGTTTGAGTTTAGTTAATAAGAATTGGCTCTAGCGGGTATTTTGGGTCAGATCTAAGTTATCGTTGGAGCTGGGTGTGGGGCGGGTCCTTTGGGGTTGCAAGAACCTTTTCTTTTATAGGATGAGAGAAGATTTTCAGTCATCATCATATCTGACAGGTGGGTCTGGACGGAGGCCTCAGGCCGGGCACTTTAGGGGAGCTGCGTTGGTTGGACCCTGAGTAACCAGTGAGGTACTACAGAAGCTGTTTTGGGCTGGTGGGTGAATCTAAGTATTGGAAGATCCACCAGCGTTTGGGGTTTGTCTGCTCCGTTTTGTTTGCAGTTCACCCCGATTGAGTGACCTCATCTGGCTCCCACGGGCAGCACCGTCACAGTTACGCCGGCTGAGAGTCGCTCCAGGCTAGAGAACAGGGTGGGTGGGTGGGGAGCATCATCCCCTTCGGGGGTGGAGGCCCCGGCAGTCTGGAGCGAGGGGACTCCCTGAGGGGGCCCGCAGCAGAGACAGACGTGCTAAGGCTCAGAGAGGTGCGGCTCCAGGAGGTGGAGGGGCCTGACCCCGAGAGAGAGTGGACCCCTGAGAAGGGCTGTCGCACTGAAAGGGGCACCCCCCACGGACCGCACGGGGCCAAGAGTGGGCACGATCTGTGAGTCTGTGACAGGGGGCAGGACCCTCTGACTGCCCCAGGACCCCCCCACCCAACGGACTCGCTGCGGGAGGCGCACGGGGGGATGGGGATGCTGAATGCTCCGGGCTCAGCCCCAAGAAGGTGGAAACTGTGGCAGCTTCTTGCCCGGGGACAGTCTGCTCCGAGAGAAGAGGCTCCCCCCAAGTCCCGACTGGGCATCGCCCCGGTGGCTCCATGACAGGGGGCCTCACCTCGAACTCGGGCCATGCCATGGCCATGCCGGGCCCGTGCTGGCGGTGTGACGAACTGGGACTGTTCTTGCTGGGGTGTGTGAATGCTGACAGGGGGAGTGTGACTAGGATGGTCT